TGTTTCCCCAGGTAAAACTTGAGGTCTTTTCAGAAGTCTTTAAGCACGTACGTCTAAGTATAAAAATTCTGTTATATCATATTCAGCACGTACTTTATGTAATGAAAATAGTGTCAGCCATGAACTAACTAACTAACCTTCTTTGCAATACTAAACAAACCATTTCCTTCTTCGTTAGAGTACCAAACACTATTGACTTTATTTACTTTCTGTTTCACACAGAAGACGAGGTTATGCAGTTAAAATACAAAAATTGTTTGTGTTTGACTTCATTTAGCCATGAGATTACTTCACTTTTCGTATAACCATTCCGACTAGGGTTTGAGTGCTTACAGTCTGACAGGAACTCGGTAAAATGAATGGCGAAGAACACTGCGATTTGATGAGGTGCTTTGAGTACATTTAATCTTGTGAGATGAGTGGGTGAGTGGATGGTTGACTTGAGCACTGCTGATAGTCGATATCTGCGGTTTCCATAATGGAATTTCCGTACGGCTGTCGCTCACTTTGTGATCCCACTGATGAGACCTAAATAAAAGACGCATTCTGTGAGCTATACACATTTCATAGCAAGCGTGAACTATCAACGAACAACCCATAGCTTGATCAACACCTTTCCCGGTGACATTCATCACATTCGCGTCTGGAGGGGAAAGAGACCGGAGAATTCAACTTAAAGACAGCCTAATGTGGAGCGCAATTATTGTATATGGAGCAGTTCTAGTATTCAGGAACTCGATTCCATCGATTTCACAGTGTACATGTAGAGAAACAAGCCAACAAGAAACAGTCTGACGAGGGATGTCACTTGATGAAGGAGGATGGTAATTTCAGGCGACGTGAGTGTGTTTCACTGACATTCGGAAATTCGCTAACTAAGATATCTTGTGACAATCTGAATACGGTCATCCATTGATAGGCATTCATTGTCGACCATTGTTTTTTCTGACGCATGCCATAACCTCTCTCAGCGTCTTCTATCATGTTTCCAATAACCTGTATGCAGAATAAAAGAGTCAAAAAGAAAACAATGCTGTTTTATTCAATGGTGATTTAACTACGAAGTTCCATGGAGGATTTGGAGAGTGAGTGAAGTGATCAAAGACAACGCAGAGAGATGGTAGAAGAAGAATGAGTGCTGGAGCTCATGATATGGGTGGGTGAGTGGATGGTTGTTTTGAGCACCACTGATTGTCAATGTGTGTGGTTTCCACAATGAAATTTCAGGACGAATTTCACATTTGGGTTTCGCGATTAACACACTGATTGTGGCGAACTTTGTGACGCCATCAACGAGGCCTAAATGCAAGACAAATTATTTGAGCTATATACATTTCATAACAAGCGGGAACTATCTAGAAACCACCGATAACCTGATCAACACCTTTCCAGGTGACATTCATCACATTCACCTGTAGAGAGGAAGGAGAACAGAGAATGCAATTTTCAGACTGCCTAATGGGGAGCGCAATTATTGTGAACGAAGGCATTCCAGTGTTCAGTAACTGGATTCCATCGATTTCACAGTGTTTATATGGAGCAAACACGCCAATAGGGGACGCTGTGACGTGGAGTGGTACTTGATAAACATGGATGGTAATTTCAGGCTACGTGAGAGCGTTTCGCTGATATCCAGAAATTCGGTAACTTGGATATCTGGTAAACGTCTGAATACGGTAACCCATTAATAGCTGTTCATTGTCAACCAGTGATGTTTCTGACGCCTCCCATATCCTCTTCAGAGTCTTCTGTCATGTTTCCAATAAACTGTATGCAGAATAAAAGAGTCGCAAATAGAATAATGCTGTTCTAATCATTGTTGATTGAACCACGGAGACAATGTGGGAAGTTCGCAAGATAATATTCAATTTCTGAGCTCTATTTGTTCTATTCGATGCATTTCGCCTTATTTCACGCCTCTACTTCTCTACTGATGGTAGTCAACACACGTAATCGATTGTTGACTTTCTCAAAGTGAAATATCTGCTCACAATTTCACTTAAAATATCGGACGATATTCACACCATGCACAGTTACTGTCTGCATGACATGATGCTCCCTATCTTCATTGTCTTTAAAATTACACGGTGTAATAATGTTTTGCTGATGAAGGCAATGCAGGTGTCATCCGACTAAGATATCACAAAACACCGAAATGTAGCTGAATGCTCATTCAAATCCTACAGAATGATCGCTTACTCGTCGAGCTTGAATTAGAATTATAATTGCGAGTATACTCACATGGTAGTGTTACCAATCACTCAGCTTCACTAATGACCTGTCCGATTCCGAAAATGCCAAAAGTTTGATCTGTTCAGCTGTCGTTTTCACTAGATGATCTTGCGTTTGTCTTAAAGCGACTAAATTGATTCCGGCATAAATGAAGAACTGGGTGACATCTTCTCATTATTTTGCCATTCATCCCGGTTTGTAATCACGACGGAAAGAATGAGTACGTAGGCGCTTCATTGTTTTATTAGTCAACTAGACGGGATTAGAAGTGACTGAAAAGTTGCATACAGAATATTTCACTTGTCTTATTCACTGCAGTTCACGCTACCTTAACTACTTTGTCTTTCTTTCTCAATAAATCTTCAAACGACTCTATGAATTAACAGTTTAAACATCACAGAAAATTGTATTTCACTCAAAACGACAGGACCTCTGTACTCAGAAGGTATAGGTCCATCCCGGTCGTATTACATCTCAGATATAGTATTGAATCGATGAATTCAATAATCCTGTACTTTTATTTCTAGTTCACCTGACATTCAGTTAGGTGCTATAGCACTTATGCGTCCTATCATGGATCCCTGTCTTTATCTTAAATCCGCTGATTTCAATGATCCAACGTGACAGATAACACTAATGCGTTTATTGACAATGATTCTTTAATGACTTTAGACCCATAAATGTAGATGTAAGCGAAGAAGAATATTTCGCCACAACTGTATTCACACAGCTGATGGCTGGCAGCAATTCTCATTGTAAACATGTGCTCCTTATATGCTTCCAATCGTTCCCTAATTACATAAATCAGTCACGGTATATACCACTAACTGTAGTGATTTTCTGTTTTACTACGACATTATGACTACACTGATCTCCAATGTTGGATTTTTCGTTGTTCACGAATTATGAATGATAATACATTGATCCACCTTCAAATATACCCCACATTCCCCATCCGTCTGTAATGATGGTGATTTCATTACGTAGACCTTCTAAAGGGAAACACATTGCCCTACTTTCAAACCGCATAGATCTCATTCACATAACATACACCATACAAACCACAGCCATTTGAAATACGCTGTGTGCTAACGACCCATATTCAATGTTCACATATAAATTACACCACGACAATTAGAAAATACAGCACGGATAAATTCGACCGGTTCTTGTCTTATTTTCATAGTCCATCTTACTGAAATTTTAGTGACCTGAAATCGAACTCAACCTGACTATACTGCCTGGTATACGATGTTGTGTTTTGGATAATTCATATGCATCTAGCACGAAAATGAAGCGATTCAATACTTAATGTGAATTACGCGTAGAAAATACGAAGCATTATTTCCGATGAGTATTCATTGTGTGATCGAACCTATTTTCACACATGGTGTATGACAGAGGAAGTCAGAAAGGCACACTGTAATCGAGATTTGACACCAAGGATTCCCCATTCGCTGTCTGACCTAGTCGATAATGAGGTGATTCAGAAAAAAAATGAGTATCACTACTGTTACTCGACACCTTAAAACTTATTACTCTTAGATATGAACGAATGCAACTGAAGTTCCCATCAATCGATATATATAGAAAGCGTAACACATGGATTATAATTACTTTATTGGGATTATTATTGAATTAAATAATAAATAAATGAGAATCAAGTATTCTGTTAAATTATTGTTAAATCATTGTTAAAACATGAGAAAATGAAGTTGATATAAAGCATGTCAACACTGCTTCTTTGACCGGAGCCACTGGTGGACAGACTACAGAAAGAAATCAAAACAGGTGTTAGAAGATGACAATGAAATTCGGAAGTGATGATACTTGCAACCAACATCATGACAGACGGTCAACGGTAACAAGTACACACATCATACATTACACCGAAATCTCACCTTCATCAGAATTCGTTCACACCTGCACCGTATTAGTAACTGAATAGATAATTGACTAAAATAACACCTGTGAAACTAAGGATAACAACCTCATGAAACTGCATTTTGATGCATGCAGAAGAAGTGTAAATGAGATATTCACTAGAGTTCTTGTCGTTGAAAGGCAACTTGTGAACCGACTACGTGCTATGAGGGCAGTGACAGACACAAGTGACATTTGTTTTCCGTGAGTTGAATACAGCCACTGAAGACTTATTAGCAGATGCTTATTTTGCGATGCGAATCTGACAGGTGCTGAGTGGATTCACACGAATCCCTCTGGCATTTCATGTTTCATGCAAATGGAAACATTGACTGAATATTGGAAAACATTTACTGAATAAGGATACAAGTGAACTCAACGAATTCTTACCGTCACTCTGTCGGCAATGGCGTCATATAATGGCAATAACCCTGAAATTGAAATGGGATCCTATGTGAGTTTACAGTTTACAACACTTTTTACAATATGAAACACTCAACTCTAGTTATCAATTCAAACTCCAGTTACATATAGTTGAACATCTAGTACAACGTGAAATGAGAATATATCCACGTGCTTTCGATTGCATCTGTCATCAGATTGTTTCATGAGTATCAATGGCCCGATGTGATGCCACCTGTTTAGCTGTTTGGATGTGATATATACATTTGAGCCACTTTGGTTGTTATCTGTGATGCATTAGAGACTTGAATGCATTGATAAATATATATATATATATATATATATATATATATATGTATATATATGCATATGTATATGAATAAAGCGAAGGTTTTTCTTCTTAAACTGCACTACCTACTTTTTATAGCCTCACGTGTAGAGATTTCGTCATACGTTTGAGATACTAAGAGATTCCAGCTTCTTATACCTACAAGACATCAAAGTGTATGAAGAGAAAAATAAGGATTAGTGAAATAGTGTACTGACTTCTACACACTCAAGATGAAGTCATTCTCGCTCCAGTCATCTGGCAGGAATATACTTCTCTCTCTCTCTCTCTCAGGATACCGTGAACTTAATACTTCCAAGGGAAATCTTACATTGGAAGCACGTGATATCTCCAGTGAGAAATATGTAATCGCGTACATTATAATCATGATGAACAATTATATTGACAAACGTGGCATGATTGTCAGTGATGTCAACATTTTAACATTATTCCTGAATATGAGAAAAATACAGGGTGATAGGATAATATTCAGTCAGATGTTTGCTTTCACTCCTCAAACAAGTTTCAAGAAATCATTTCGAGCGTCAAGTGAGATTCTGTCTCCCTGATTGTTTCACATCATTCATCCACTGATAGTAGCAATATTTGCATTGTCCAGATTGTGCTTACTAATTTCTGCTAATATATATATAAAGTCCTTGGTCAAATGAAAGCAATGGAAGTACAAAGGATCATGTATGAATATTATTACTGATTGAAAAATACCTTGAGAAGAGATAGATGGCCGGAACTTATCACATCCAGAATATTCAGGTCCATATCCACTGTCTGCGTCAAGATAGAGGATAATAGTAAGTGATGGAGAGTTTACAAAATGGGAGAGGATGTAATGCTTGTGTGCATGAAACTGTCATTCACACAAATCACAGGGCAACTCACGTACTTTTTAGCACTTCTGAAATTCAAATGATATACATGTGTTAGAACCAGAGGATTTTGGGTATTCTGTACACAAAAAAGATACGTTACTCTAAAGACGGAGACTGCGATTCTGTTCACATGTTGGCTTCAAGGACAGATATTCCTACTATGTCTGAATACCTACATGACGTCTTGCATTTGATGATTATTGGCAGTAGAAACTTTGGAATCGCTTTCGTCCTGCTTGACACCGACGGTTAACTACATCTCCACTCCCAGTGATTTCCACTTGATGACTTCAATTCATCGCATCACAGGTCCTCGATATTTCTGTCAAATCCTCAACCAAAACAGTCACATATTGCTGCTTAATTGAACATAGTGGTTTCAGTGCCCGTATCGACGATGAGAGCATCAATATGGCCAGCCTGCTAAACCAAGCGAAAAATCCACATCCTTCAGGTTATCACCAATCATGTTGATTGTTGCAGTGTTCATTTATATAATAACAGAATTCATATTGATCACAGAGTGAATGTCTTTCGATCAAATAAACAGGTACCTTTGAGTATTGCGTATAGCTCTCTGCTGTGAACTAGAGCAAAACCGACATCCGGAACAAGTTCCTCTAGAAAAACAACGTAGGGTAAAGTTTCAGAGGTTATGAAATAAATAGTAAAATCTGGAGCAGAATCAATTATTCATGCTCAATATTTAAAACAACAATACTCAGCGCATTTCGCATAAATTCGCACCACATTGGACGATGATTATGGTGATGATGAAGGCGAATATCTTTGTGATTCTCATTTCCACCAGTCATCTCGTAGTACATTACAGTACATTTCCAAATTTCACTTCAATTACTTGCAAAGCAAAATTATATATGTATTTGCTTACTGTATTCTTCTACGATGACGAGCAAAGACGGGATCATCACTGAAATTGTGTATGAAACGACGGAGAAGATAGTCACTAGACGACAACTGCCTCTTGCAATAATGACAATAATAATTATTATCACTAGGGATAGAAGTATTTATGAAAAATGAGGCGAAGCATGCTGAATTGCATCATCATAATCCTTCGTCTTTCCTAAAGTTGTGAATGTCAGCCATGGCAAACTGCTGTTTCTCTTCTCAGGATGATGAGAATACCTAAGAACTTAGATTCCTCATCACTTTCCAGGCTAACGACTGTCACAGGATAAGTCTATTTCTGATCAGGAATGAATCAGGAGAATAGACGGTTGTCAATTACATGGCTTACCAGCCAAATAGTTATTCGAACTCAGTAGATAGAATAAAACGTTGGCGAGATACTCAGTGTTGTTGTGAATGGCTGTATTCAAGGTAGATAAAAGCTGTAAATTGTTCGAGAAATTCATCAAGGTCACACTCGCTACATGTGAAATGACTGCATCGAGAATGTCATCAGAAAGACACTGTAAACAATAACAACAGAGGAAAATCACAAACCCTTGATGATGTCCGGTACGAAGTATTCAAGATAATTTTTACTTATACACTTGAAGTCTGAAAGTGTAAATTTATTGAAGTACGCAAGAGATTCACCTACATTGATCAGTGATGTTTGATTCATTGGGAAATGCTTCCTTGAGATTATCTGCAAATAATACAACAAAATGTGTGGCTTAAAATGGTACGTGGTGATGGCGTTGAGTATTTCCAAGTAATGTCAGTTTACTCCTTTTGATATTCTGTGTCTTTAACAATGCACCAATTTGTAATAAATGCACAACTGGCAAGTGAACTCTCATGCCATAAGGCTGTAATCATTTGTTGTATGCTAGTTGTGGTCGCACCTCACTTTAAGGAGACGAGTGAGTTTAAAGACGAATAGCTGTGCTTCCATTGCTGTCCACATTTGAATCCAGATGACTGCACGCAAAGAATCTGCAATATATCTGACCATTATACGTCAATTAACTTCCCCTATTATCCATTTCACTCATTGTGACTACACCGTTTATTGAGGAGACGAAATTCGCATATTTACAGTCGAGACACTTGAAAAAAGGAATGTCTGATAGTCCATGTATGACAGGGTTCATGCTCACTCACTCACTCACAGCCTACCAAAACACACTGATATTTGAGTGAGGCTGGGTGAATATCTAACTGGATTGCGCACTTAGCCCCATTCATGCGTAGGCGACAAATGGTAAATTGAACGTTGGTTTGTAAATTAGACGAAGTTTATTTTACTGGTCGATAGTGAATCTCTATAATATAGACAGTTCAAAAGATGGAAACTCTTCCATGCATAAAAGCGAGTTAACGTGAACCAGAGTAAGAAATGAGATAAATAGAATGTTCCATGTTTTACCTGTTATTATTTCAGAAATTCTCTCCTGATGATTTATTCTCTCGTCATACCTCGTATTCAACTCTGTGAATAAAAATAACTTGTTAATGTATGTCATTTTCAAAAATAGTTTCCTCAGCTCAAAATGTGCGTCAGCGTATTATCTGAAGTCAGATATCTGTCACTGACGCTAGTATAACGCTTACAAGCCTCGCCATAATCCTACGCGATATTCTGTCAACAGATCACAATAAAGCTGGACGCAACTTGAGTGTGCAGTTTAGTAGAAGTGAACAGCTGCAAATACACCTATTGGCTTTATTCACTTCTGATTTTGCAAGAGTTTTGAATGAACAGAGTTAACGGACGTGTTCACTGTTGAGTGAAAAGGCATTTCAAAGAGAGACAAACGTGAATTCACTCACTTTTATAACTATCGATAATCCTTTCGAAAATTTCAACCCTTTGTTCCACCAACTTTGTGACTAAAATGCAAAGGCAGTGTAAGATGGATTAGGAAATTACAGTTACACTTAAAGTAGGAAAATGCCTCATGAAGAGAAAGCATCTTCTCTGACTGTCCTGACGATATAAGAGAAACTGAATGGAGTGAGTTGATATTCCTACTTAAACTACTATTGATAAAATCTTCTTAACATTATGCAAATTAATTTAAATACTTGTAAGCTTCAACTTACTTTTAGCATCAACGCAAGCCTCCCGAAAATTCCAACCAAGTCCTGAGGCTACAAAGTAAATGAGGAGGAATCTGTTACTGAAATATTCTGGGTAGCTCTTAAATACGGCATAAATATGATAGATGTAAGACTGATCTCAGTATCAAAACATTCATCTGATATTTTCCTTATATTCCCATCAGAATCACGGCATCATAGCTGTCCACTCATAATAGAACATCAGGTGACTTAGGGTTTGTGAATTCAGTAGGTATACTCATTGTGTTTTTCAGTTATCGGTAGCTGTGATTCGGAGATAAGCACGATTATTTTGCAGGAAGGACAGAACTCATACACACATACACTGAACACTGCAGCTCATAATTTTTCAGACAATATTATACAAGTGGATGTCACTGCACGTTGCACACTGGCTTGTATCGAAAGCCAACAGTCAACTCCTAAATTTTGATCGCTCAGATCTTCACACAATAGACCACTGTGATGGCAGGTAGTATTCATTACAAATTTCATATATACACACTGAAAAATTCTGCACAAAAGTGTTCAGCATTATTTACCTTTTACGACACAAGCACAGTGAAGCAGAACGATTATGACCATGACAAGCGACAGTGTAGGATGCACCATGATTATTTCATCCTTTGAAATCCATCTGTATTTATACTGCTGAGAATTCTACAGACAGTCGTAAACTAAAATTTGATTGGAAGAGAAGAATTCGAGTGGCAGACATATTTTTGTTAATCTTTAACTATGAACTTCAACCTATCACGAACAGCAAAAACTTTAATTTTTCATTGGACATTGAGTGGTAACAATCGAAAATACAACCTACCCCTTTACACACAAAAACAATTTCCAACGATATATCTACTATAGAGCACTGTGTAGTGATGAAGTAAGGTTTGGAATGCTGAAGTGCTATCTGTCGTGTTAACAGATAATCACTACAGTCAGTGGTATATACCGTGACTGATTTATGTAATTAGGGAACGATTGGAAGCATATAAGGAGCACATGTTTACAATGAGAATTGCTCCCAGCCATCAGCTGTGTGAATACAGTTGTGGCGAAATATTATTCTTCGCTTACATCTACATTTATGGGTCTAAAGTCATTAAAGAATCATTGTCAATAAACGCATTAGTGTTATCTGTCACGTTGGATCATTGAAATCAGCGGATTTAAGATAAAGACAGGGATCCATGATAGGACGCATAAGTGCTATAGCACCTAACTGAATGTCAGGTGAACTAGAAATAAAAGTACAGGATTATTGAATTCATCGATTCAATACTATATCTGAGATGTAATACGACCGGGATGGACCTATACCTTCTGAGTACAGAGGTCCTGTCGTTTTGAGTGAAATACAATTTTCTGTGATGTTTAAACTCTTAAATTCATAGAGTCGTTTGAAGATTTATTGAGAAAGAAAGACAAAGTAGTTAAGGTAGCGTGAACTGCAGTGAATAAGACAAGTGAAATATTCTGTATGCAACTTTTCAGTCACTTCTAATCCCGTCTAGTTGACTAATAAAACAATGAAGCGCCTACGTACTCAATCCTTTTGTCGTGAATACAAATTGAAATGAATGGCAAATTAATAAGGAAATGTCACCCAGTTCTTCATTTATGCCAGGATCATGTCCAAATTTATATGGAAAGCACAATATCATCTAGTGAAAACGACAGCTGAACAGATCAAACTTTTGGCATTTTCGGAATCGGACAGGTCATTAGTGAAGCTGAGTGAT